AAAAACAAAAAAAATAAAAAAAATAAAATAAAAAAATAATAATAATAATAATAATAATAATAATAATAATAATAAAACGGTCAAAAAAAAAAGAATTGGGATTGATTGATGAAAGCGATAAAGCTGTTGGGAAAAGTTATTGTTGAAAGAATCTAAAAGTAATTAGAAGCGGTTTATAAGTTTCGATGTGAAGGTTCAGTCTGTGTGGAGAGCCAAAATCTGCAAAAAGGGTTCACGATCCTATAAATCTGTGACAGCAGTTTTCACGAATTTGAGGCAACATGTACAGACACGGGGTGCACTTCTTTTCATAGTACAAATGTACGTCAATTTTGCATAGTTTGTTATTCAATAATTTTCGATATATGAACAGATTTAAGATGTAGAAATGCTGATTGGAATAATCATCAGCCTGAGCTGCTCGAAATGACCTGCAAAAGGGTCGGGAGGGACTCTCGGCGCTAGCACTGTAACGCCTACGTTAGTATAGGGGGAGAATTAGATGATGGGTGCGAATGTGATCAAGAGCAGTAAGTAATGCATGTAGAATGTAGTGTTGGGTATTGGTGTACCTCAACCACTTTTATAAGAAATACTTGCCCGAAATAGCTTGCCCGATTGTTGACGATCAGTTTGCCCGGTTGTCCTGGTTTGGTATTTATCTCTATCCTAATCATGTCTTAGTCACCATTTTATTCAATCTTATCCTCATAAGATTCTTTTTTGTCCCAAACATCTCAATGGGCAATGTTCATCAGGTCATCTGTTTTAAAGCTCAGTCATTGAGGCCGAGCAGTCTTGAGCTCCCTAGTGGTTTAGGTCGTCCAGATCATCCTAAGTCGTCCGAAAGTCATCCACTAGCTCGAGGGTTTGACGATGTTCAACTGAAGATGTACTCCAGCTCACGACATATTTCAGCTCGCGGTGTACTCCAGCTCGCAACGTACTCCAATCTGTGATGTTCAAGTCGTGGTGTACTCTAGCTCGCATTTTTTTTTCTTTATCTTTTTAAAGCTGACAATTTAGTATTGTAATATGCCTTTTCCCAACCCAACTTGCAAGTTGTCTAAAGTTGAAATCAGCGAGCAATTTTAGCCGATTTATTGTTGTTCAAACTAAAATTTCAAATGAGGACCTCGCCCAACCCAATTTGCGAATTGTTCAAAGTTAGAATCAACGAGCAATTATAACCAACGTATAGTTGTTCAAACTAAATATCTTAATTAGGTCCTCACCCATCCCAACTTGCGAGCTGTTCAAAGTTGGAATCAACGAGCAATTTTGGCCAGTTTATAGCTGTAGAAACTAAAATTTTGAATTACGACCATGCCCAACACAACTTGCGAGTTGTTTAAAGCTGGAATCAACGATAAATTTTTAGTCAACTATAGTTGTTCAAACTAAAAATTAAATTAGGACCTCTCCCAACCCAGCTTGTGAGATGTTCAAAGTTGGATTCAACGAGTAATTTTAGCCAACTTATTATTGTTCGAACTAATAAATTGAATTAGGACCTCACCCAATTCATTTTGCAAGCTGTTTAAAGTTGGAATCAATGAGCAATTTTACCTATCCTATAGCTGTACAAACAAAAAAAAAAAATCCAATAAAAATTGCGCTTTTCATAGAGTTAGCAATATTTTATGAATTCAAATAAGAGCATAGTTTAATCATTCGATAAAGAAATCCCACTGCGTACATCTTTGGGTTATAAGCAAAAATAATTTATTGAATCTCCACATGGCCCTCATGGGTAGAACATTTTGAGGTGAATCACGTTTCATTACATTGGTAATTGTCTTCCTTCGAGAAGACGAGTCAAGTAAGATCCTTCGATCGTACTCAGTTAAAAATTACAAACACCGAGCTTCCTGCTCAAGTTGGTTTACTAGTGGTGGGTGCGGTTCATGATTTGAATTGTCCCGGTACTTATCCCATTTTTATGAACCGGTCCAAGAACGGTGCGTGACAAGACATCGTCTCAAATTGATCGGTATCAATCGGAATCAGGACAAAGCGGTTCGAGACCGAGACAAAATGGGACAAACATATAAACTAAACCAATGAGTATTGATTCCATAAAAATTAAAAACAAACAACAAACATATTCGTTCAATAATTTGGATTAAAACAATCACACAGATTCAAGTATTCACTTAAACCAAGTTATTAAAAAGTATTGATTCAATTATAACAAATATACCGATACATTAAGTTTAAGTCATCATAGTCTCTATGATATAACATAAACATTGTCTTTAAAACCAAATTACCAAATGATCAGTTTAGTTTATTTATTATTTATTTTAGCCAGATTGTTTAATTTTGGCTTGGACAATAGGGCATTTTTTAGAAAGGTAGAATGCTATTGAAGCTTAAATGCCAAAATGACCTATTTTAATTATGTAATTGGTACTATAATAGTTATATAAAATACTATTATAATGTATAATATATATATTTAGTATATCATACAAAAAAATAAAAAGGGACATACGGGACAGTTTGGGACAAAAGTATTCAAAAAGACACCGACATGTGTAAACTATTCGGTATCGGGAACGAGACAAAAATAAAAAATAACCTTTTGGAACCTTATTTTTTAGAACGGGACCATTTTGATCCGGTCCAGTACGAAAAATTTAGTTTTTTTGTCCACCCCTACGGTCTACCGTGCTATACTGAGTGTTACATTATTAGATACATTTATATCAATATAAATGTATAAACTAACGGCTACATTAAAATAATATAAATACTACAAAATAACATTTTATAAGTTCATTTTTATTCGTCATAAATAAGGTACATTCAGTAATAACAATAATACTTATTATTTATATTACTAAATTATAATAAAGTCATTATAAAATATATAACCTTGAGACGAAAGTTAACAGTGCCATAAATAAGTGACCGCGTGTCGCAACGCTTCAAATTTAGCTTTATAAAATTTACCTCGAGTAACCTCTACTAACTAGTAGTAATGACGAGCAAAGGTCGATCCCACGAGGAGTGTAGTATAAACCGTGATTTTGTTATATTAATTATTAAAGTGACAATGAGGGGGAGGGGGGGGTGTGTGTTTGATTTTAAATGAAACTACCAGCGAAACAAAGAAATTAAACTAGAATTAAATAAATGATGTAGATTGAAATGATGATGAAATCAGAAATAACAAATAATTTAGCAAATATGAGAGTAGAATCGGTCACAGGTCGGTCTACACCCTCGATTAACTAGCCCAATTAATGCACTTATAAAATTTCACTTGTCTTCTAAAACTACCGGTTCTAGATAGCAATAGGGCCTGCTACCCGAATTTTCGCTTAATTCTTCTTACTCGAAATAGACTCTTCAATTAAATCTATTTAGCGAACAACTCGGAACAAACTCTCCTAATTTAATCCTCTAGTTGCATTAGAATCTAAGAAAATAGACTGATCCAAGCGCAAACACACAAACTCGGTTCATGTAATTTATGTTGTGTTTATCCCTAACAGTGCACGACTATTAGTTGCTACAAATGAGTTATGAACTACGGCAATCACGGATCGAAGCCTCAAGTCTAGCAATTAACATGAAATTCCTAACTTAGGTAATACAACCAAATTAAAAATGACACATTATGACATGAGACTGGAATAATACAAACAATTTTACACGACAAGTAAAATGAAATTAATTGCATTAATCAAACATAGTCATCGAAAATTCAACGTCCACAGAACCGAAATAAGTGTTCAGCTACGCATAGCTAAATGATCAAAACAAAAATAATAATTCACGTTTTTCCACCAAAATAAAATAATGCAAATAAAATCTAAACAAACTCCTTGTGATCGCAGGATCACAGCGTCCACGGCTCAAGCTTTCTGTATGACCCAACTTTTAGCAGGAACTTTGTACTCCAACTGGAATCAATGGCCTGATCAGAGCAGCTTGATTGGCCCCAGTTAAAGTAAAATTATTCATCAGGAGTCCAGCAATCTTCATCCGCTAGCTACAAGTAGTATAGGAAAGGTAAACCCCTTACTGCATTACTCGTCGGACTCCTAATGTCGGGGTTGTTTAGCTTCAATCTTGGCTTTCAGCCGCTGGAAAGGTAGTTCGACCCCTACTATTGCTAAAGCGGGGGCCTTAGCTACACTTGTTTAACCTGCTTAACTATTATGAAGAAGCTGAATTGATGGACTAACTACTTTTTAAATCTCCATTCAACGGCTACAACCCAATGGTAAAAAATTGAAAAAATTGAGCTTAAATTATGGTGGGATATGATTTTAATTGTTAGTCGAATTGATTCGTTATATATTTTAAATAAAATGTATATTTTTAATATAAAATATTATATTCTTATTTATGTTAATTTTTACCGTATGAATAAGAAACATAGAATTGGGCTTATAAATTGGCACCATTCAAAAATTTCACATCATTTCATGAACAATATCATCAATAATCACACATTACGATTCCCATAACTGTTCTGTGATTATAATTTTCATGCTACTTATTTCACATCAGTTCATCACACATTACAAAATAATCCTTGACCAGATAAAAAAAAAAAAGAATAATAGTGCAAATTATGGGCTCGAACTTTGTACAACGATCTCGGGTATCAAATTCACCTCGAGACTTCGGCTTCGGCTATTCTTCCGAATCGATCTTTTCCCGCTAAACGAAAAAGACCTCTTCATCAAAACGGGCCTTTTCTCTAGAGAACGTCCGGAAGACGCACTCTTTATCGTCCTATAAATCCTCGAATTCTTGCACCCTCTTTTCGAAATCACGTCCGAAAAAATCAGCCTCTCCGTAACTCCCATTTTAGCACACGAACACCCCTCGTCCCTCCTAGGACAAACTGACTCCCAATAAATATCTGAACCACATGAAAAAACAACTGAAACCGACCTCCTCACATTCTCTCCGAATCCCCGATCCAAACACGCCCTACGATCACTCAAATCACTATGCACCCTAACCCTAAATTTATTATTATTACTACTACTACTAATAAACCGATTTCCCACAAAAATATCAACTAGTTGATCTTCGGTCTCGATTCTATCCATTCATGCCCCACCTCCATTTTCTCCCGCTAAAACCGATTTATTCGGGCTCGGAGCCTCATTACATTTCGCATCCAACATAACCGGGCCACGACAAACCGGGCAATTCTTGTGCGACCGGAGCCAAGTGTCGATGCACGAGACGTGGAAAGTGTGGCCACACTTAGGCAAGAGGCGAAGCATCTCATTCTCTTTAAAATCGTTGAGGCAAACCGAACATTCGCCTCTTCCGATCACCACCCCACCACTCTTTTCGTACACAAAAGTCGGGATTAGGTCGACCGTCGACTGCGGGAGGCCAACAGTGCGGATGTGCCAAACGGGATGGTCAAGATCGGACCCATTTTCAACCGTTTGCCAAATTCGAACGCGGCGTGATCGGTACTTGCGCACCGCGAGGTAGGAAAGGAAAAGGAAAACGAAAACGGCGCTTAGGAAGCCGAGCATCAGGATTAGGATTATAGATATCCGCTGATGGTTTTTGGGGTGATGGGGACGTGGGAGTGGGGGTGGGGATTGGAGGTAGCAATTTTCGGGGCATACGTAGCACATGTAACACGACGAAGAGGACTTGTTGTCTTGATTTTGTAGAAGCTTTCTGTAATAGAAGGCCATCAAAGAAGAAAAAAGGTTTGAAAATTATCAAGAAACAGATCAAATGGTTAAACAAATAGATGGGCTGTGAAGTTATGTGTGAAGAGAAATTGGATGAGAGCAAGAATTTTATTTTCTTTCATCAAGAAATAGAGCAAATGACTAAACAGAGCATTTGATCGAGCTTCATGGGAAAGGGATTTGATTTTTGATGATGAGGGTAATCATTTTCAGAGGAGGATGTGGTGTGAGTTCATGTTCTCTGTTTGGAAGTGTAGCCAAAAGTCAACGGGATGTTGACTAATCACTTGTTTGGGGGTATTGGTGGGGCACTCTGCCAGCGACATGCTAAATCCAAACCACAAATTTTTGGGTGTTGTGTTTAAAGATAATAAATGAGTTTCAAAGCTTACGCTCAATAATGTGAAGAGAGTAGTGGCATAGGACGCCCCACGAAAGGGGCATGAGTAGACACACAGACATAATTGGGCGTACGGGATGAATTTCAACCTTGACATGCACTCTCTTGCTTTAAGTTTTATATAAATAAAATTGATTTTGATTGTATTTATTAATTAAAGTAGATTAATTTTAAATAAATGTTGATTGAGTTGAGAATTCAGTAAGATTTTGCGTTCGTATTATAATAATATCTAAAATATAAAAATTAAAGGTGAACACGAGTACACGATGGTGCCCTGAACCTCAATTCGTGCCACCGAGTCATCGTCGAACCGAACGGTGTCGAGCACTGTCGTGTCCAGCTTCAAGTACGTGGCCCTAGATTTGGATATGTGGTTGGTAGAGCCGGTGTCCAAGACCCAGATATCAGCCTCCCACTCATTTTTCTCGCCGAAGTGGGCGACCACTTTCTCCTCACGAATCTTGATTGGGGTGCTCGATCCCGTCGGTGTCGCTCCAGATCTGCAACCACCATGACGTGTTGACGGGGTGAGCACAGTTTTCCAAGTCGAAGATGTACGTTTGGAGGTTGATGGCTGCGATGGGGACATGAAGGGAGAAGACTTCACGAGCAAGAGCGACGTCTCCTCCTCATCGTGAGCCACATGGGAATGTTCCTTCTTGGGCTTTGAGTTACACTAGCAGGCCCAGTGGCCTTCTTCCCATAATGCCTGCATTCGTTACTGATAGGCTGGTGTGAATCTGAGGGCTCGCCAGACGGTGAAGCTCTGCAAACACACCCACACCTCCTTCTCTGTTCGTGCCGCCGCCACCTCTTGTGTTGTTGTCGGAATGGTTCTACGCCTTGCACTTATTTCACTGCGCGTCTCATTCCCCCTCCGTGAGGTGCAATTTTTCCTCGTGCTACAGCGCCAACTTCGTCATACCCATCCTTCACCTCGTTCAGTCGCCTAGTCAATTCGATGACCATCTTGTTCAACACGCCAAGTAGTTTCTTGATCGTGGCTGAGATCTACTTATATTGAGACAGAAGGGTGCAGAGTATCTTTACGATTATACTGATATCTGCCATTTTCTCTTCCAACGTAGCAAGGTGTGCCACCATGCCATTCAGGCGCAGTGCATATTCCTTGATGGTTTCGCCATCTGAAAAGATGATGAGGTCCAATTTTCTGTGTAGCTATTGCGCCATCGAACTCTTGACGCGGTTGTCCTTGACCCTCATGGTCAAGATCGCGTCCCAGGCCTCCCTCGTCTTCTCCTTCTTGGCGACCGTCGCCATGTCGACACCATGTCCAATGGCACCGCACTGCACAAGGCATCAAACGTCACTATCTCCTATTGTGGATCAGTGTCACCATCCTTGATCACGCTTTAGAGACCCTTGGCCTCTAACTTCCTTCATCAGAAACGCCAAGTCAGAGTAATTTATCTTGGTAATAATAGGATAGTTACTCCCGCTGCTCACCTCACGGATCAATCGCTGGATTACATCGCTGTCTTTTGAGGGGACTTCAACGTTCTTGTTCTCACTCATTGTCCCAGGTACGAGTAGCTATGATGCCACTTGTTAGACGTGGAGAGACAACACATAGTTGTCGTCGAGATCAATGGCCAAAACACAAAATAAACTCACACGATGACACAATCTTATTTCGATGATGTTGAATTGACAGCTTTTTTAGTGCTATTCTATTGAGAATTATGAACCTGATTAAGTCCTACAATCATGATTACAAGGAAACAATGATCATGCCAATATGATTGACAATCACACAACTATATCTTGGGAAACAACAATGAATTAAAGATAAATAAACTAATTTAGGTGCACAAGAATTACATCATACAATAAAATATTTTCTATAAAGTTAGTTTTTTCAATAACCAAAAGAACTCCAAATATAATTAGGGCAAAATTCAGAAAAACAAAACTCCAGTATTTTTAGGAGGTTCGATCCAGACTATCACTAAATCAGTGGAGCACATCGTCTCGTAAAAGGACACTTTCTCTCTCTAAGAAATAAAATCCCACAAATCGTCCTTCGAAAACCTTGCTCGTCAATATTTCTCCGACTGCTTGCCCCGACGGGGCCGTCGGGATCCTCGATGGTGGCAGGTTCCCGGCAGTTGCGACGCGGCCTCGATCAAGTGTCAGGGTCCATCTTCTCGCGCGATGGAGTCGGTCGGCATTCCCGAGTGGTTTTCGGCTTCTAGGGCTGCCATCTTGGGACGAAGGTCGCCGTTTTTCATTGCAGCGAGGCAGAGGCAGGCTGTGGTGTTTATTCGAGAGCAGGTTGTGGCTCCAACTACCGAATATGTGGTCGGGCATAAGGTCAAAGGGTTGTCTCCCCTTTGTTCTTTTTTCCTCTGGTGTTAGGGAGGAAGGGACGACCATCTCGCCAGGCCTGGTCGTGGTGTGGCTGGGATCGGGGTGGTGGTGGTGTGGTGTGGTGTGGTGTGGGGTGGGGTTGTTCGGCTGACCTTCGTCTATGGGGTTGTGGTCGGCCGCCAAGGCACAAGGAGGGGTCTGGAGTTTCAGCTCTAGTTAAGCCGGGTGTTGCAGTTTCTGGCGTCGAAACTTGGGCCGTGGACCCGTGGTCCGATCTGTTTGGCCGATCGTGGTGTTACCGTCAAGGTTTGCTTGGTGTATTAATTTGACTAGTGGGGAAGAGTTTTATTTTTTGTTTCTGTGTTTGTTGGATTTGTGATTTTTCTGTGTTTCGTATATTTTGTTTTTGTTGGTATCATTGTCCCTTTGAGATCTAGATTCTGCTGTTGGGAGTTAGTTATTTTCGTGGTGGGTGCGTTGTGGTATTTAGGTCTCTTCCGTGGTGTCCTCTCACTAAATTCGACTTTTGGCTAACATCTAGATGTAATTATGTGTGCTAGTTATAAAATTTCTATAGTTTCGACATAATATAAATAAATAAATAAAAGATTTAGTTGATATACAATATACTGTAATGACTTTCTTGGCCAGTGATTACAGATGTTATGATTATTGATGAGTTGTTCCAATCAACTGCTCGTCTTCGAAATAAAGCTCCAATCGAAAACAAAATTATTTAATATCAAGAAGGCCCGTATTCAGAATAAATGAGGCCCAGACCCAATCTATTTTTCCCTACACTATTAACAACAGGCCCAATATATGATTTCCAAATCACTTTTTCTAAATTTTATTTTATTGAAAAATACTATTTATCTTTAAATTTGTTTTTTTTTTTATATGTTGAATTTTTTATTTTGATTTCAAATATATTAGTTATTACTGTAAATATTTTAACATTTATCACAAAAATTTGCCGCGGGTCAAATTAATTAATATGTCATGATATTCATGTAAGCATAAATTATTGATCTTGAATAAATAATTTGGTGTATACAAAATAATTATTTGATGCGAAAGACGACATAATTGTGTTCTTGATCTAAACTAGTTTTTCCCTCATGACCGACTTGTTATGTAGAAAAAAATTGATGAAAAAAATATTGTGTACCCTAATTGGAGGAGATAGTACTAATCTATTAATATATAATAAGTAGAAATGCTCCCCTACCCACGGTGGGCACATATTAATATGCTCATCGCGTAGGTGGCATGCACTCATTGGTGATGTATTTTTTTAAGCATATTAACATCACCAATGAGTGCATGCCACCTACGCGGTAGGCATATTAACATGTGCCCACCGTGGGTAGGGGAGCATTCCACATATAATAAGGATTAACATAATTTACTTTTAGAAACGCTTTCTCGCCAATTTCATTAATTAATGCCTAAAGAATTTAAATTAATAAAAATTAATGTAATTAATGTACATAATTTTTTTAATCAAATATTTATTGTTATTACCTTTATTAGTTGAATTTAAATTTAGGATGATTTAGTTTTATGGAAACAACTATGGGGGTATTATAGAAACTTTCGAAATCCTTAGTTTAGATATATAGACTTGATTGAGCAATTATAGAGAATTAATCGTTAATCTTTATATCTATATTATATTTCATGTGTTGAGTAAAACATAATAAATTAATACTTATGTTATTTTTCATACATCTTTTTGTTGGCGTAGTAGAGTTACAAGATTATCTTTTTCTTCGTAGACAAGATAACCAAATACAAAAATATAAATAACATTTATGTGCCGCTAAAAAATATTTTGGACAAAATGTAGAAGTAACTTTTAGAAATTACTTAATTAATTTATGGTATAAATTTGACAAAATTAATAAATCCAAATTTCGTATAAAGTTGATGATTTTATTTTAAGTATCTTATAGTTATTTTTATCTTTTCGTAAAAAATGTGTTGTTAATAATAAATGTCCAATTTTGTGGTATAAAGTGGGTGATTTATTTTTGGTACAAAATATTCGAATTTAAATAGTATGAATTTTATTTGGAATGGATAGAAGTATATTTGAAATTATTTAAAACAAAATAAGAGCATTTACAATGCATAAATGTTGGTATCATATAAGTTTTGACAATTGTCAGTTGTTTATTATATGGATTGTGAACCACATAACATATTTCTTAAGTTCACAACTTTAAATCTAAAAAATTATTTGCGTGCACAATGTGATCAAACATAATATTGTCAATTGGTAAAAATAAAAATAAAAATATAAATAAGAAACCAAAAAAAATAATAATTAGATATTTTGAAAATTATCAACCTTTACAACCATATTTTGAAAATTGTTTATTATATGGATTGTGAACCAAATAATTAGATATTTTGAAAATGTCATCTCTCAATTGGTTGATTAGAATGTAAAATAAAATGTGGATGAACCACATTCTTACAAAATCAAGGTGATATGATTCTTACAATTTAGCATATTCGCATAATAATTTACCATAATATATTAATGATAATTCGACAAATTGATATATTCCTCTAGAAAATTATAATGATCTTTGAACAAATATTGGTAATAAAATTTAAAATTAGTAATTTAATTATACAGATTAATTGATAATTTTGAACGATAAGGTAACTGACAACAAATCTAAAAAAATGCAAGATATATATAATACATATATATTATACATGAAATATATAAAAAGGTTTATTTGTGTAGTCCAAATTTAGGTTCTAAATTTAAAGATCAATTAAGTAGTTATTCATAATTATGCTAATATTAACTTGGATGCAAACGAATTATACAATTATTTATAGTTTAATAAATTATTTAACTATTTAAATTTTTTTATTTGGACAGGTCATACGACAATAAATTCATTTTAGTTAATGAAACAATATAAATACTATAATTATACGTATTATTCACATAGATTTTTAAATATATGATAAATTTTTACCAAAACATTTATTTTATTGAATCACATTGTAGTCAAATCGAAATTTTGAATAAAATTTTTTTAAAATAACATTATTTTGAAATGAATATAATATAATTTATTATTAGTTATGTGCATTGTATGGGTTGTGTACTAATTTTAAATATACATGTTTTATGTAATTTTGTACAATTCAAATTCTAATATTTTAAAAATTAATATAGGTAATCTGTATTACATATTAATTCAATATTCTTAATTTATAAAATATTAT